TTTTTGGGAATTTAAAGTCTTGGTATGCTCTAAATGTGCTGATGAAAAGTCCATCTGGTAATAATTTTTTTTTTATTTTTTTTTTGAAAAATAAAGTAATATATTTATTTTTCAACAATTGATTTTTTTTTTTTTTTTGATCTAATCAACTTTCACATTAAAAAAAAAAAAGTCTTTTAAAGTTGAAAGAGTCGGGTGTATCAGAGATAATTATATCGTGTTTACCATGCATCAGTGATATCAATTTCAGGAATGATCTTAATTACTTGATGAATGCGACATCGCCAGGATATTATGGAACCAATCCATACTACTGGAAGAGTGATGTGTCGCGTGCGGTAGATGAATATAATTCTCTGAGTGAAGACGAAAGAGAAGGTTGGATCAAAAATAAACAAGCCGAATTGAGAGATGATATTCGAGTCATTGAAGCTTTGAGAACACAAGAAACCGAAATTAATCTTAATAAATTTCTATGCAACATTCTTTCTCGATAAGATCCTTTTCATTTTTTCTCGTAGTAAGTCTTCAATTTCTTCAAACATTTTTTTTTTTCAAATCCTTTAGCATCATCGTTCATGAAAATAAGTTTTCTTGGAAATTATTTAAGCTAAATCAATTTGGACTTGATTTATTAATATATTTATATAAAGAGTTTGTTAATGTTAATGTACTTTCATACTTTGTAGTGTTGCAAATTTTTATTTTATTTTTTTTTTTCTTAACAAGTTCAAATTATTTTATTCAAATGATCTTTATTTGATCGATTTGAATGGAAATTTATAAATAACCGATGACATCATTAAATATCCTTATAATGGAAATTTATATCTTCAACGTGAATAAAACGAACACCAGAAAGAAAATGAATGAATTATTAAGTTAATGGACTAATGATTTATGTAAAGCACGTTATCAATTTTCATGCTATATTTTTAATAATGTCACGGACACTTTGTAAAATCCAACAATCATTTTTTAAACATGGGACAATATGGGAGGATTGCTATTAAAATGAGTTACGAACATAGTAAATCATATGATCCGTAACGTGATTTTAATCCCATATTAGCAACAACAAAAAAAAAGAAAGGACGCGAGGAAAAGATTATACAAATAGTAAAAATAATATAAAGCGACCGCTCATCGATGTTATAAAAAAAAGATAATATCCAAGAAAAACTTTAATTAATACCGAAAATGTAAAAAATTTTACGGAAAACAACTTGAAAGATTGTAAAAACTTTGAAATTTGACGGAATTCAAAATCGAGCTGTCATTTTTAGTTGGGATCCAAAAGTTGGATTCCCCGTTTGAAAAAAAAAAAAAAAAAAGAGCAATAAAAAGCCGCGCATTCATTTATTTTTTTTTTTAAAAAAAAAATTCTTTGAATTTCTTGTAAGATTTATGCGTAGTCATTAAATGACTACGTTAACACGTACTCGATGTTATTAAACGCTTTGTCTTGATATTACCCGTCTTCGGTTTTATTTTTGAATAAACAAACCCAAGAGAAATCATATAAATAGTTTGTTCTTTGTTTCATTAAACGCATGTCTTAAAGAACCAATGGGCACGATTTAATTTGGCACAGCAGATCACGATACGCACAGACGCGCCGCGAGAAATTTTGTGTAAATGTGAACCAATCGATATTTGTGAATTCGAAAAATAAAAAAAAATTTTTCTAAATGTGAAATAAATACAAAGACAAAGGTAATAATAATAATAATAATAATTAATAAAATAAAAATAATAAAAATAAAAACTTATTCTATCAGCTCCGTCATGTGACTTTGTCGAATTCATCTATAATCCTGGCTAAAATCATCGGGCAAAGCATTAAGAAAAATCACGTCGTGATCACATGATATCTTAAAAAAAGGGTTACGAAATATTAAAGGAACACTTTTGCGTTTTAAAAGCAACCTATTTTACAGGAAATTTTCATGATGAAAAGCGTTGCAATTGAGAGTATCCATTAAAACACGCGTCGGAATTTCCAACCAACATCTTGAGTATTTCTAGCAAACGCACGACGTTTTATGAAAAAATCAATCGATAAATCGCAAATTAATTTTGTTTTCTCAAGAATTATCGAAATGCATCGAAAGATGTTTGAAATGAAACCTTTTGATTTCGCGAAGCAAACTTGTGAACCTTTGGGTGAGAGAAGTCAAAGAAACCGGCAGTTTGATTATGCTCTGACGTGAAGGATCACTATCACACAACCAAAGATGGTGATTTCAAACGGATCAGGATCATAATATCGTCATGGGTCATAAGGTGTTCACAAAAACCGAAATTGGATGTTAAGACAATATCCGACAACCTTTCATTGTTTTGAATTTTTCTTAATTCTCGTTCATTATCGTTATCGATTTTAATTCGCGTTTCGGTTTATTTTTTTTCCTCGTGTTCAAATCAATACTATTTATTTATATATAACCTAAAAATAAAAATAAAAATGTTTTATTTTAGCCTAAAAGATGAAAACCTACATTTCACGCGACATTGCGTCAACAAGTCGAACTTGTTTCATAAAGTTTCATGTGTCAACAAAACTCACGATCGAGGCTAATTTTACGCACGGATATCGCTTACGAGATGTGGACATGTCAATCAATAATTTCTCATGCTATAAACATGTCAATTGTTGGCAATTGGTTTCTAATTGTTCTTTATCATTCTCATCATTCAAAATCATTCAGGTACTTCAACATCTTATCAGAAATCACGTGTAGATCTCCGCTAAGACGAAAGAGAAAAAGGGAAGTTTTGAACTATTGTAATCTAATAAAGGAAATCGATTCCCCTTTTTTATGTCCTTACAATAACGACAGCGAAAGAAAAATCATTCGCCTGCTTGATGATAACGTGAGTGACACGGTATTTAAGCGTGGGTAATTTTCGTTCTTTTTTTATCTTTCCATTTTTATTTTTTTTTTTTCCCTCCCTAAAAAAACATTCGACCATGCATAAATAGATTTGCAAAAAAAAAAAAAAAAAAAAAAATTAAAAAAAAAATAAAACTGGTTTGCAGGCATTTGCAGGTATTCATTTGATTTTTTGGTAACAAAAAATAAGTAAATAAAAAAAAAAAAAAAAAATCCGAGTTGGTCCCCCCCTTATGTAACCTTTTTTGAAATCTTTGATCAAAATAATTTAAACGTGTACTGTAAATAAAATACATGTACAACATATGTATTTTATGTGTGTCATCTTTTTTAATAGAATTTGTCACACGAGAGGGAAACAGACTAATAATTTTTTTTTTTTTCAGAAAAAACCCGTTTTTTTCCTCCCTTTTCTAAAAAAAAAAAAATCAAAATCAAAATCAAAATCTATTAAAAATACGGAACGTTTTTTTTTATTTATTTATTTTTTTTTTTTTTTTGGTTAAACGACGCCCTTTATCCTTAACAAAATATTTTTCAAAATGAATCCTAGAAAGAAAATTCAAAATGAAATAATCAAAAAAAATGCTAAGGAAATAATAAAAAAAAAAATTAGATCTTTTCAATCAAGAGTAATTTTAAATTCACAATTGAAAAAATTCTCAATGTAAACTTTAAACCTAAATGAAATTTAAGGTTGAAATTTGCCGCAAATTACCGAAATCTAATCACATGGCTCTCATTTAAAAGATATTCCCATTACATGAAAATTAATGAAATAGAGTAAATCAACTAAAAACGATATTAGTCTCGAAACCTTAACTATATGATCATTATCCTTTAAATCATGTCATCAATTTAAGAAAAAAAAAATTTTATTTTGAAACAAAAGAAAATATATACCTTTTTTTTTTTTTTGAAACAACAAAAAAAAAAAAAAAATTTGAAACAGAATTTACTGATACTACTTCCACCTACTTCTTACCAATAAAGCAAAAATTGATTTTATTTGGTTACATTTCTTCCGCTTTTATCTTTTATCAATAATAATAGTATAAATTTAAGACAAAAAAAAAAATTTTTTTATTGTTGCATATCAAAAATCATTGATTACTATTTTAAACGACCATTAAATTTTTTACACAATGAAATCATTGTATTCAGTTAGAAAAAGTCATAATAATAAGTAACACTGAATTCCAAGCATCTAATTTGGAATAATGAATAATGATAATATGCCCACGCCATACAATCTTACGGATGATAAGGAAAAAAAAATTTCTCTTTTGCATCCATCGTTCCAACATTCTAAATTCACAACCATATGGATTCCATTTTTTTTTTTCTTGCATATATAACGCATTTTAATCGCCTTTGATACAACCTTTTTTTAGTAGAACAAATGTGCATTACTTTTTGATCTGAAAAAAAAAAAAGCATTCAACCCATAAAGGGATAAAAATAAAAATAATCACGTCTTCACTATACATCTCCTAGATCACATTTGCATAAGTTGTATGCAAAAATGGTTCACGGACTTTTGGAATTTGCCTCGCGCAGCATTGAACATGCGAGTTAAATATACGCGCATAGTGTAAAATCAATTATATTCCGAACACCGCACATCACATCATACATCACACAGACAAAACCTTCGAAATTTGGAGTTTCAAACTTGAAAAATGATTTTTTTATAATTCCCAGCTATACATTTTTGTGTACATAACTAATTTACTAATTGATTTATGACAAAAAAAGATTACCAATGAGCTTAATTATGGAAGCTATCAGCACTATTTCCCTTTGCACACCTCTCTTTTGTTTCATAAACCTTATCTAATACAAATAAAAGAAAATCCCAAACGTAACATAACCCAAAAAAAAATGTTCATTTCAAATTGCCGCATAAACCGATATTCCTCCAACATATCAATCCATAATGTCCTAAAAAGAATTATACCATAAACTTTTCGTTTTTTTTTTTTTTGTTTTTCAAAAAAAAAAAAAATAAAAAAAAAATAAAAGGAAAAAAAAAAACTAAGTTAAAAAACAAAAAAAAAATTAAAATATCTACATATATACACAAAAAAAATCAATATTTTTTTTTTTTTCATCGTGCTTTTTTTGTTGTGTTGATTTATACAAAAGTATTATTACTAGTATCTGTTATAATAAGGGGGAGGGTTTAAGTAAAAATTCTATAATTGTTTTTAAGGTGGTGAGAGAAAAAAAAATAGTAGATTGTAACTTTTTATCCAAAAAAAAAAATTAATTAAGTGATGAAATTTTTTTTTTGAAAGAAAAAGGATTAAGATTAAGATTATTAAATTTTTTTGTGTATAAAAATTGTGAAAGTTAAAAATGCAAGTCGGAAGAAGGAAACAAAAAAAAAAACAAAAGTCTTACTAACAGAGGTATACAAAGGTCAATATGTTCATTATTTACAAATTGAAAAAAAAAAAAATAAAAACAAATCCGTATTCCGTATCGTTGCGTAGTTCGATCAAAGTTACATTACCGGCTCGCCTTTTTGTTTTTTTTTTTACCACTACATCGCTTTCGAAGATAAAATCGGGAAAATCGTTCACGAAAAAAAAAAAAAAATACAGTAAAAAAAAGCGAATTGAAGCTGTTTAAATCGTTAATTAGCGTAAAAAGATTTTACGAAATCTTGATAAATTGCGAGCGGATTTTTTTCTATTGGCCGACTTTTCATCCATCACCGATTCGTTCTCATCGCTACTGTCAGTAGAGGGGGTGCATGGCGGGGAATAATCGTAACCATTCTTGGTCGATGAAGGACGACATGAAGCCAGTGATTGGATGATGTCTCCCGTTCGTCGTCTCAAGAGACGTGGAATCTGTGGAATACTGCGTTGTAGATCGTGATCATTGGTTGGTGTGAGGGTGGATGACGTTGGTGTAACCGACGTGGACGGTGGCAACATCGTATGACGATCATCAAACGAAGCTTCGTTACCGTCGCCAAAGTTCAATGATTCATCGTCGCACCCCAATCGATTATTCGGTCCAAAATCCATTGACCATCTCCTGATATGACGATTTTGTCTTTTTGGCGGAAGGGGGGGAGGTAACAAATCGTTATCATCTGAAGCATCGGCCGCCGTTTGCAAGACCAAAGGAGTTTGTTGTGATTGTGGCGGTGTTATGGGGGCGTCCGACGCTAGTGGTACAGGTTTACGGGGTATTTCTTTTTTCAGGGAATCTCTCTCTTGTAGGAAGGAAGTTACTGAAGAAAGATTGTTGAGATTATTATCACTACCACCGCTTCTAATAATTATACTACCATCTTTAGCGTGTTTACTTAATAATAAAGCCTCCAACACTTTAGTTTTTAAATTCGTTTGTTGATTCTCGGCGCGAACATTTTGCAACGCTATATCTTTTTGACCTACAATGTTTTTAAGTGCTTGAATCGTTAACCTGCATTGCTCAAGTTCTTGGGCGAGTTTATTGTTTTGATTTTTCAAAAAAGCATTTTCCATTTTTATTCTATCCACCGAAGGACCATTCCTCTTGGAAATCTTGGTCGACTTACGAAGGGAGGGGGAAAGTGGTCTGCCTAACCTTGAAGGGGGTCTATTATTCAAAACTTCTAATATATTTTTATCATTACCGTCATCATCTTCGCTGTCATCGTCGTCATCATCATTATCGTGATTGATGAACTCACGGAAGTCGATGTAATCATCTTGTTCAATATCACTCTCTTCCATCTCGTCTTCTGAATCCGCCAGATAATGATGTGGCGGCATGTGTGGAGAAGCTATATCTAACTGTGAGAAGGATAATTCATCTTGGTGAATATATGTGGCATCTTGAATCAAATCAAATGACGATCTGAACGAAGGTGAGAATTCGAGCGCATCGTTTTCATCAAATTTAGGCGCTGCCATGATAAAGTTTTTTTTTTTTCTTTTATGTTTTTTTGTAAATTTTTTTTTTTTTTTTTATAATATATATATGTGTATATATATGTTTATGTATATGTATATAATAATATGTACGTATTTTCTATTTAAATTTTTGTTTTTTTTCTCAGAGAGAACGATATATGTGAACGTTTAAAGGTACATTCAAAAAAGTTGATTTATAAAAAAAAAAAAAAGAAAGAAAGAGGCACAAATTTTTTTTTTTTTTAAAAAAAAATTGATTACAAGTTTTACAGATTTATATATAATTTTTTCTAACCAAAAAGAATTTTTTAAAAAGCAGGTTTATGCGTTGCAACAATTCTAAAAGAATTAGAGAAAAAAAAAAATTACAGTAAGAAATATGAATAAAAAAAAAAAAAAAAAAAAGGAATAAAAAAAGATAAGAATAAAACGTATATAATTTAAAAAAGGGAAAGAAAAAAAAATAGTAAAGAAAAAAAATTTATAATTTTTTTTTTTTTTGAAAACGGAAGTAAGAAAAATGATCTTTATGGGTTGTATTGTATTTATGTTAATTTATGTTTTATGAAAGAAATATATGTATACAATACAAATATACAATAATATAAGTGATGGATGATGATAATATAAATACTGTACATTAAAAAAAAAAAAAAAAAAAAAAATAGGTTATTATATTAAATCTTTATTTATGTATGTTTAATTAACAGACATACTTTGGTTGTACAATTGGCTAATCTCCGACAAATATACAATATAAAAAAATAAAAAGGAAAAAAGCATGTGGACAATTCAAAAATCCTGTTACATTTATTAAATTAGTTGATGACGAAATATTATGAGTAACTTTAATTTGACAAATTTATATATTCCCTAGTATTTATTTACTAATGTTGGGACATTGAAACTATTGATCCTTTTTTTTTTTTTTTCCTTTAAATTCATAAATGAATGCTTCATTGAATTGTCGAATGCAGGGTGCCCATTTTTAAATGGGAAAAAAGAAAATAATTCTTTAATAATTCTTTAATAATTCTTTTAAAGCAAAAAAAAAAATTATTTCCATAAAAGAAGGTTGTTTGTTCATGCGTTTGATTTAATGAAACCATTTAAATCTTTCAGGAGTCGTCGATCCTAGTCTAAAGTTTACAATTTTTTTTTTCTTTATTTTAAACGTGTATTATTTATTCCATTAGCGAGGTTCGCGTAGTATGATACCTACCGAAAAATCTCGTATTATATTCGATGAACAAGGTAAAAATTTCATAGGTAAAAAACATCGGATAGGTTCGTAGAAAAAGTCAGGTGTCCATTGATTGTATAATCGGATGATATGGATATACAATTTATCTAAATCTGAAATATAAGGTCAGATCACAATCACCAATCAACTATTACTAGGTTTTTCGTTTAGGCAGATTTTTTCAAATGAGTAAAACAATATAACATTTTACAAATATTTTTCGTGGAAATAAATAAAAAATTCAAATTAATAAATTTTTGGAAAAGATGAATTTTAAGCTGTTGTTGTTGTTGTTGTAATGAGTGATCTAAACAAATTAATCAAGTATTTTTTTTTTTATACAATTGCAAATTAAGAACGTGATTGTAATCAAGAATCCTAGATTATAATACGGTGAATTTATGGTATAACTTAAATGGGCTAAAACGAATAACAAACGCCAAATGATAGTAAGGCTTCCAATAACCATAGATAAAAAAATTTTTTTTTTTAAAAAAAAAAAAAAAAAAAAATGATTGAATGACTCAATTTAAAGATATAAAGCTGAGTAAAATAAAAATCACCTAATACTTTTAGAGTCATAAACCGGTATTTTCTATTGTTTACAAGCAATCAGGGAAAAAAAAAATAATAAAACTGCGTTTCAACGTGATTTTTTCATCCTTTATTTACACTAACCTATTTTTGAAAATTAAAATAGAATCACGGTCAATCAAAAAGTCACGGTGATACTCGACGAAAAATTTACGGTAAAGGAAAAAAAAAAAATTTTTCATTAATACTTATTTAGATACACAAATCTGGAAAACAATTTGTCATGGGCTTCCATTTCGGCTTCTTACAAATTCTAAATTACACGTAATACGTACAACATTGGAGCCTGCACGTGACGTTAATTTGTTCACGTGATCCACGAGAACCATTTATGCGGATTTCAATCATTTAATTACATGCTTGAACGCACACCACGCGCGAATGTTTGAAATTACGCATAATTTACTCCTTAGGCTAATGCATCTCTTATCACTTATTCTTTTAAGCATAAATTTAATATAACTTTGTTTGGTAAATATTACCGTGAAAATATTATTGGCGCAAATTTCCTTCCAAGAATCGTTCTATTGCCAACTTCACTTCTTCTGCCATAACAGTCCTCCCTCCCCCCTTGAATCTAATGTACATTTACGGTTTCAAAGTGTTTATAATGCTCACATTATGATTCTTTTTTCTGATCTTGGATTCTTTTCTTCTTCTCACATGTCTTTTTTGTTTTCTAAATAAATAAATAATTTAATTTAATATCGTTGTACAAAGTTAATTTTATGATTAATTGATTTTTACCACAAGGAGAAATATCTTACGGGTGTATTATTTTCATTTTCATTTTATTTTTTTTTACTATGATGTGACACAGATTTAACTAAAAATAACGAGAGAAAGAAATCAAATAACGAAAGATGATCGGTCGAATGTGCAAAGAGATGATTTACTTTGAATAGTTTCTTGGTATAAATTGTTTCCGATCCACCCCTATGTTGAAATTAAATTTCTTTTAGGTTAGATCATTGGTTTTGAAGATGTTCCGGGAATCACCATTTCAGCTAGAATACACAAAGGTGTTTTTTTTTTCCTTTTCCTCTCTCGGAGTGAATGGAATTTTTTTTGAATACTACACGCATGGGTGTTTGTTATTATTTTTGAAAGGCTTTTTATTTTTATTTTTTTCAATTTTTTGAATACATCGTGATAAATGCAAAGACTATTGTACCCTTAAAGGTATTGTGATATGAATTGGAATATTGTATTGTAAAGAGAAATCAATCGCATCCTTGTATCGGAATAAAAGCATTGATGGTGTTATGGTATTGTCGATAGACAATACACCCTTTGTAACAAGACCAACACAAAGACTAATGTGACTTTTTGTGACCTTTTTGTTCAAAGATACTTCTTTTCTTTCCTCCTTTGAATATGTGAAAAGAAATCTTGTTCCATGCAATGGAAATACATCCTTGTATCAAGATACAAAGGTTATTGTTAAAAAAAAATTTTACCTTTTTTAATAAAAGGTTATTGTTATTTTTCTTGATATGTATATGTTATTGTTTCATTCAAGTATCACCTTTGTATTGAGATACAAGATTGCAAACATCAAAAATTTAACAGAATATGTAACCGTGTGTTTTTTACACTGTTATCATGAAAAGAATGTTCGAAGAATGGAAATAAAAAAAAAATAATCACTTTTGACGAATCGTTGGTCGCGATTAAAAGAAAAAAACATTCTGCATCATCTTTTTTTCGTTGTATTTTTTTTTTTTTTTTTTTTTTAAAAAAAAAAAAAAAAAATAAACTTTATTTATAGAAAAATTTGTTATTAATATCTTCTTTTTTTTTTTTTTATCGCGCTTATTTAAAATAATTTTTTTTTCTTTGCAAAAATAAAAATAAAAAAGAATAATATATTTTTCTCAAAATAAAAATAAAAAAATCTTTTTAGAAAAAAAAGAAGGTTTTCCAATAACGAATGGATAAAATCACTCTTGACAATAATAAATAATTCGAAGGCACTTCTTTGACAGGAATATACATACATCCTTCGATCTTTCAATTGCACGCTATTTTTCTTTTTTTTTTTAAAAAAAAAAACAAAAAAAGAAAAAAAAAATGCATGCTCGGAGTTTCAAGTTTCAAATCCATTGTAGTCATAAATTTATTGACATACAATATAATATATATGCTTGATCATTCGATTATCATGAACAGAAAATCATGATTAACTAGAAATTTGAATGGGATTATAATTAATTGATCCTCGAAAATTGATAAATGCCTATCCGAAATAATATGATAATTTTGACCATAAGAACAAATCAAATCATTTTGATTATAAAAACAAATAAAATCATTTTTTATTATATAACAAAAATCTTCTCCTCTATCGAATCAAGCATGATAATAATATGATCAGACGATCGTGCTATCCTAAATTTATTCATTAATTATATAAATGTGTAATGATTCACGCCCCTTTTCTTTTCTTTTTTTAACGATGATAAATGGAAAATGAAAGAATATATTAAGTGCCTTATTTTTTTTAAAAAAAAAAACTATGATTTATTTTAAGAAAATACGTGGTTTAATATTAAAAGTGATTAAGTTGTTTACGCCGTAGATAAATTTGCGTATGAGTTTTTTATTGTAATTTATGAAACGCACTTTTAATTTACGAGACGCGTTTTTTATAAGAAATTTATCAGCAATCGAACGAAACACATACTTTATTTACATGAAATAACCAATTATAAATGCTTCACAGTAAGAATCCCATCGAGAAAATTCCAACAAATTTTTAATCAATTAATGTGCGATAACTAAACTTGTTTCAAACGCTCCACCATTGGAGTTCTTCTCCAACTGCAATCCAGATACCTTCGCCCCTCTCATCCAATTTAGGATTGGAAATTGATGGATCCCACGTGCAAAATCTTAATGCGGGTATTTTATCCTTAAATGGTCCAATTGGAGGTCTTATGGCTCTTCCTGTATTTATAGAGAAAAACCTAACCTTATTGTCTTGGCCAGCTAAATAAAAATCAGAATAATAAAAGGTTAGATGGTAAAAATAAAAAATAATTAAGGGCAAATCCGCGTACCTATTGATACAATGTCCTCTTTTAAATTAATATCAAATCCATACTGAATATTGGTCGAATTGACATTTCTCTCAAATTCTATAACTGGTTTATGATCGTAAGAATTATCATAATCCCTCTTTACATTTCGAATATCCCACAAGGAAACCTACAAAAACGATCGAAACCAAACCTTTAGAGTATAAAAGGATTGATATGACAAAAATAATTAACTTGACACGTACGGATCCATTCATTCCATCTGATAAAATATACCACGCGCCGACTTGTTTTAAATGACAAATAGGAGATTTTTGGTCAATCATCGGTCCAATCCCATGACGTGAATTGGAACGTAAATCAAATATCCGTAATCTACCGTCTCTACAACCTGTGAAAACTACATTCGGCTTCCAACGCGCATGACCCATTGAAAAAAAAATTAGATATTATTTTGAATGAAATCGACTGCTAATTCATAAATAACCTTACCTGATAACGATCAAAATCCAAAGCGAAAACATCACTATATGTCTTAAAATTACTAATCAATGGTGTTTCTTGCCATCCTTGTATCACAGACAATTTTCGTGATGAGCCTTGTATTTAAATTGATTTTTAAATTTTTTAATGTTAAAATCCAAAAGATTGAAGTGACTGTCATTTTAATTTTCAATTACCCACTGCTATAGAAGAGTCAATCTCTGAAAATGATGATGCCCAAATCGTTGAACCACTATGATAAACATACTTTGGTTCTATTATTGATGAAAAGTTTTGGTCAAAATGTTATAATGTGATCCAAAAACGAAACGCGTATGAAGAGACCTCCTACCCATGCCATAAGGATCAATTTCTGAACATAATTTTGCAACAAACATAATGCCCGAGGTAACTGGATCACCCAGTGAAGTGCCTCTATAAATTTAAAATAAAATTATGATGATAATTTCTCATTAATTTTTTAAGAAAACTGCATACTTACATCAATAAATTCGTACTTTCCAAGCGCATTGATGTGATCTAAACAAACATCAATATCATTTAGTTTAAATTTCTTTTTAAAAGAAAAAACGTTAACTTGAAAAAAAAAAAAGGATATAAAACCTCTGAGGAAAATTTGAACATTTGTATATTATAATCTTCCACGCATGATTCGGATGTGCACTTGAATTTCATCTGACTAGATGTTAAGTGAACAAAAATTAACCAATCAATCATAGTGTATAATTTACGCTTTTACGAACCTTATGATTCCAGATGTATCCCCATGAAATATTTTATTCATAGATGGATGGATCTTAAATATCAAAATATACCGATAAATCAAACATCGTTGGATCGTTTTGTGCATGTTATGTGATCTAAAGTTCTAAATAATATACCCGAAAATCCTTTATAAACGAACGTTCCATGGCAATTGAACCGATATGACGTAAAGACTTTACTAAAATTTGTCGATTTTCACTGAGGTTATAATCAATTAACAATATTTGTTATTTAGAGAAAGTAATGGATACGAATATAATTTACTTGTTGAACTTAACCTTTTTGATACATGAATAGGTTTAATGGGGTTTATTTCTCGATCCAAAAGAAGAGACATTGCGCTTGAAAATTTTCGACGCATTGGATATTCTCTGGCTTTCTTTTAGGTAAACCATTTTTTTTTAATAAATTAAAGAAATAAATAAATAGGGTTTAAAGGAAATCAGACATAATTTTTCACCTCTTCAGCTTTTTTCTTTGTCCCAATAGAATCAGCGCTAAAAGGGTGACTTGATCCAACCGTTTTATTTGCCATTATTTTAAAATACCTATTTTTTTCATGATCATAATAGTAACCAGCAATTTCTTTTGGGGTCTCGCTTGATTTAGGTTTCGGTGAAGAAACCGAAGAATCAATTGGATTAATTTGCGAGGAATTAATTGAACTTTGATTTTTGAATCTTTTCGTTCGATGATGAATTCTTTGACGAGGCATCATTAAAAATTGATTAACGAATTTAAAGTTTAAAAAAGGATTGTTTCAGGAATTTTTTTTTTTTATCTGCATGATAATCATTGCGGACTAATGACAATATGAATAGTAAGTATAGTAAGTTTACTTAAATAGAAATGTATAACCAAATCAATCATTACTAAAAATAATTTCTTACTAAGCCCTAAAACTCGAAAGCCTTAGCGGGAATGTCTGTGATTATTGGGTATAAAAAGTATATATATATGAGGAATTTGAGGTAAGCAACAAATCCTTTTGATTCTGCATTTTATTGAAAAAGCGATGAGTGAATTAAGAACTTCTGTCGATGTGAGTATTTATTAGTTCGGTTTGCTGCGGATACCTAAGTTAATTGCTTATTCAATATAGCAGGTTGAATCTTCCGGCACCCAAAATTTAGATATCGAATCCGCCGAACATCATCATCATGACGAAGAAACATTCAAAAAACGTCACATACTACATCCAAAATCATGGAGAGAATTCATAGTTTCCATACTAAAGAAAGGAAGAGCAAATTTGTTGCTCATTTTTTTGGTCCCGGCAATTGTATTACCACATTTTAATGTCGACAAATTGATTACCTTTTTCGTCAGTTTTATAGCCATTATTCCTCTGTCTAATCTCATGACTATTGGTGTAGAAGATTTATCGGCGAGAATGGGACTGGTAAATAAATTTTCGATGATATATATATATATAAAGTTTTTTTTTTTTTAAAAAAAAAATAAATGTACGAATGAATAAATTTATTCAATAGGCATATGCATCAGTTCTTCACGCATTGTCAGGAAACTTTGTAGAACTGGTTATAGAATCTTATGCGTTAATGGACAATCAATTTGCGATTGTACGATCCGCTGTATTAGGATCAATTCTTTGTAATATCACACTGGTATAATAAATTATGGTTTTTTCAAAGGTGTTTTTTTTTTTTTTGTTTTCGACACATCGCAAAATCATTAACCTTGTCACTTTACCAGGTTCTAGGCATCGCATTCGTTGCAGGTTCTTGGCCCACGGCCCGTCGTGTTCGTGAAGGAAAGCACTTGCATACAAATATTGAAATTGAATCCTTTGTGGACACGTCTTCGTCCATTTTGGCCTTGGCCGTTCTCGCATTAATCACTCCTGCGGCATTTAAAATCGCCGCGACTCCCCTTGATTTACCGGGAGAAACCAATCTAATTGATTGCAATCTACAAAACATCAGTCACGCCACGGCCATCATACTAATGATGGTTTATATAGGATTATTGGTTTTTCAATTGAAAACTCACAAACACGAGGTAAGTTTAATAAAGAAATGAGTGTGAAAGAAATGAAACGAATAAAATTTAACATGTTTTTTTTTTTTTATTATTAGGTGGTAGACGTTAAGGAATTATCCCATCTTCATAAGAAGTATAATTGGTTGTTTGATATATTTTTGTAAGTTCATTCCTTCTCCGTAATTTCCAACTATCGCCCGTTTTAATGGAATATTATTATTTTTAAAAGAATTGCGGGATCGGTAGCTGGAATCTCAATCTGTGCAAAAACCCTGGTTAACAGTATTGAACAGATTGCACATGACTTTCGACTCGGAACTGGTTTCATTGGAATAGTACTTTTACCTCTTTGTGGTACCTAAAATATCTAAATTTTCAAATATTTTTATTTATTTCTTTTTTTTTTAAAAAAAAATGTTGAAACCCCATTTTATTATTATAGTTGTATCAAATTTCATTGAACATTATCAGGCTATCGCAGAGGCAGCCGAAGATAAAGTAGATACAGCCATTAGTTTGATCCTTAATACATCTGTAGTAAGTAACTTCATAATACAAGTGATTTTTTTTTTTTTATTCCAACATTTTAATGAAATACATAAATTTTTAAAAAGCAAATGGCACTGTTGATAACACCAATCTTGGTGTCAGTTGGATGGATTTATGAAAAACCATTAACATTGGACTTTAACGCTTTGGAAATATCTGTTTTGGCTTGTGCTGTATTGATTGTGAATTATCTGGTTGCTGTATGTATCTATTATGATTATCAATCATCATCATTATTAAATTTTTACGAGTCTAAAAATAACATTTTTAATATCCTGATCAATAAATAGGATAACAAAGCAAACTGGTTAGAGGGGTATATGCTTATAGTAAGTATTATTATTTATAAGAAATAATAAGGGGATTTAAGGATTTTTTTAATTAATATCTTTATTTTTTTTAGATATCATATCTGTTGATAGCTATAGCATTCTTTTACTTTCCGAGTACGCATGTCCCAGAACAACATGGACATTGCAACCCTTGGAGTAGAAATTTACCACCGGTTGAAACGGGAGAGGAAGGGACTGCGGGAGAACATTAACTTTCGTAATAATTAAAATTAATTTTTCTTTATTAATATATTTAGATTGTAAAAATTGAGAATCTGTTGTAAATAAAAATCCTGATAAAAATTCGACTTTAGCTTTCTATTTCGGCAATCAAGAAAACAATATTAGACGTTATACACGGATAAAGTAAAATTTTGATGGGTTTTTGGTGTCTCAAAAAACGTTTTCGGCAATCATCCCTGAAGATGATCTGTCAAACCTTGATGATAAGGCTAAATTTAGTGTAATTAAAATAAATAAATATATCAATTGTTTCATTATCTTTTAGAGAAGTGGTTTTCTTTTTTTTAAAAATGATAAAATTAAGAGATGTTTTTTAGGTATAAACTACCTAAACTAAAATTTTTTTTTGACTAAACTACTTACCAAAAAGTTTTCCTAAACTCAATAAAGCAAAAAATCAAAAAAAAAAAAAAAAAAAAAAAAAAAAAAAAAAAAAATCGGGCTGAATTTAAGTTTCAGGTTAAAATAGGTTTCGGAACGAGCATATTTATCCTGTTCCGAGCGGTACGTACCGTTTTTAAATACCCCCGGATATTAAGTTGATTGCCTATATTAAATCAGAACCTGAATTTTTTATTTTTTATCAACGGGTAAATCTTGTTTGACCTTTGAAAATTATGATTCAATTTTTAATTGTCACACCCATTCTTTTTAATTTTTTTTTTTTTTAAGGATTTATTTAATCTTCACTAAAATTTTTCACTTGACACGTCTAAAAAATTCCGAAATTTGCTGCACCATGTAATTCTGATGGACTTGTTTTGGTTAATAGATTCCTTACACGAAACTGAATGAACAAATGTCAATGGGACACCTTTTCAGGACAGGAAACTTTTCAGGAAAAAAAAAACAAAAGATTTTATTTACTACTATGAATTTTTTTTTTTTGGCAAAAAAAAAGCGCCCATGATTTTTTAGCCAAAAGCATTCATTGCCTTACTTCGCATCCCGAAACTCATTTTTTTTTTAAAAAAAATTTAGCCAAAAACCTTGACATTTTTTTAAAAAATCAACACAGATTTGCTTACGACGTTACGACATTCCTATGTTCGCATAAGGCGATAACCTTACTGGTGCCAATATGACTAAATGCGTAGAGTTGCGGATATTCTTGATCAATGTTGTTCAAACAAAGTCGAGATAGTATTGGATCCAAAGGATTTGGCATTTTTCCCGTCTTTTCATATGAATTGTTTGGACGGGATTGGCGTGATAAAGTTTCAGCCGAGCACGAGCTGATGTATATTTCGAGAATAAAAAAAAATAAAAAAGGTTTACATGATGTGCCGTTTTATTTGGTACGTCCCATTGTTGAATTAAAATCAGAATAGACCTAGATTTCGTTTAGGCATTCGAAAACCTAAACTTTTTACAAGTTCCGATAAAACAAATACCTCCCATTTTGGGTGGGATTACGTTTTGAAAAATTTTCTTGTTGCGGGCAAATGAAATAAGATGTTTGAACTATTTTAGTTAAAAGCCAAGGGGGGGTTTTCTCATGTAACATGTGAATCATACACACTCGAATCCTTTAAAAAAAAACAGAGAAAAAGGTAATAATTCGCGTTGTCTTTTTGCTGCGCATATCGTCATCATGCACGTAAGAACCTGAATGTTTTTTTTTAAATCTTTTCACTTCACATGAAGCAGGGACGTGCATTTTTTTTTAAAAAAAAATAATAAGCTTTCTAATGATCAAATCTTCTCATGAAATTTGCAGTAATCCAATGCAAGGTGGAAAAATGCAGAAGTGCGCGGTCAGTAACACATCTTCACAATCTTCAATTCCCTCCTACAGCAATCACTTCTTTCTTCCAAAGGATTGAAATCTTTCTCGTGACTTACATGAAAAAACCCCCCAAGAGACTGGGCGATTAACATAACAATCAAATGACCTTACACAGAGGATTTTATCTCTCTTCAATTCCTAAAAGAACGCCCACCTTTTTGCATATAATAAGAACTGATTTAGTTCAACGAATCACATGAGCTGAATTTCCATGAGTTAATTGCCCACCACAACGTGATACATAAGGTACAATAAAAAAAAAATGGGACATGGCAGTTATCGATTATCAGATTTTAGATTTATTTATTTAATTTTTTTTTTCGGGTAACCCCTCGGCAAAAAAACCAGCAATGAAGTACAAAGAAATAATATAATTTCCTTTTACAAGTTTTTGACTTGATTTTAATTCTTTAACAATGGACTTCAAAAGAATGCATTTTTAAAAAAAAATATAGGAAAAGTGCAAAATGCAAAATGCAAAAAAAAAAAAAAAGTAAACAAAGAACTTCAAAACTCATTCCTTAAACGGGTACCTATAGTAACCTCTATTTCCATTTATCGATTTATTATGTAATTTAATTTAATTTTATTAAAAAAAAAAAAGATTTTAATTATTCCCTCTTTTTTTTTTTTTTTTTTTTTTAAACCTTCTTCCCTTCTTATCTTCATTCGATCTTGAAAGAATTCTTCGTGAATGAATCGTTCAATCGATGAGTCTTCATTTTTTTTCACTAGATTAAAACCTTTTGTATTTAATTTATCAGATTTCCCCCTTTTTTTTAATCGACCAGCGGGCTGGACATAAATTTTTGGTTTATTATTATTATTATTTCTTGAAAAAAATTAAAAAAAATATTTATATTTTTATATTTTTTAAGCTGCAACGAACAACATTCATACTTAATAATAATAATAATAATAATAATAAAATTAAGAGGGAATTCGTAGAATTTATTTATTTTAGACGGATTTGAATTTTTTTATTAAGTTAAAATATAATGGCATCTACCGAAGGAGGAACAACTTCGGTACAAGTTGGTAGGCAAAATTCTCTCATTGACTTAATTATCAACAAATTATCAACATCACGAATAATTGAGCTTCCTATGTCCATAAAATAATGATGATAACTTTTTTTTCTTAAAAAAATAAAATAAAATAAAACAAAAAAAAAAAACAAATAAAAAAAAAACAGCACTTCGAATAAAACCACTTACGGAGGAAGACTTGGAAAAATTACCTACAAGATTTCAACGTCAGATCCTCACCACTCCATCAAATGCCCTGAACCAACTTATTGTTGAAGGTGATAAAAGGCAAATCTTCCATTTCGATCATGTGTTTCCTCCCGAAACCACTCAACAAGAAGTCTACGAAAGGGCTGTCGAAAATTTGGTGGATAAATTCTTAGAAGGTATCGTGTTGCTGTGGCGCAGCTGATCGAGATCGACCAAGATTCACTCCTTTTTTTAAAAAGAGTTTTTGAGGTGATAAAATATCGGCGGGCTGCGTCCGTGTTTCGTTTTGACGTCATCGTTTCATGCCCTAACCCATTTCCTTTCCCCTATTAGGATACAATGTAACGATTTTAGCATACGGTCAAACATCTTCAGGAAAGACGTACACAATGGGCACAGCTGATAATCCATCAACCCCGCTTCAATTCAAAGGAATAATTCCTCGTGCTATGTCAACTTTATTTAATATAATGAACAATTCATCAATATACCTGAATCGAAAATTTTCAATTAAGGTATCGTTTATAGAAATTTATAATGAAGATTTAATTGATTTACTTGGTGAGGGTGAAGGTGAATGTAGACCTCAGGTCATGATCCGTGAAGATTCAAAGGGAAATATTTATTGGAGTGGTTTACAGGAAGTTCAGGTTAATAATGTGAATGAAGTTATGGCGTAAGTACAAAATTCTTTTTCATGATACCCCTTCTACCTCGTTTTTTTAATCAATGAATCAACGTATATTGTAGATATTTGGCACAAGGATCTATGAATCGACAAGTCGGTGCCACAGATATGAACTCGAAATCTTCTAGATCACATGCTATTTTCTCCGTCACTATGTCACAACAAAAGTTGGTTTCTTATAATGGACCTAATGGTTATTTGTCCCCACCTCCTGGTTCAAGACCAACCACACCATCATCAAAGTTGGTAGGTTCAAGAGCAAACTCGAGATTAGACCATGCTGATGATGGTGATTGGGTTACTATAACGAGTAAATTTCATTTCGTAGATTTGGCTGGTAGTGAGAGGGTAAATATCTTCGATTTCTCATTTGAATCATTGTATTCGCATTTTAATCTCTTGAATTCGATAAATCTCTAACAACTTCAAATTTTCAAAAAAAAAAAAATTCCGTTTTCTATTCAGTTAAAACGTACGGCGGCAAGTGGTGATCGAGCAAAGGAGGGAATATCAATCAATTCAGGTTTACTGGCGTTGGGAAATGTAATTTCAGCTTTAGGAGATCCAACAAAAGCAAAACATACAACTCACATTCCTTATAGAGATTCTAAGCTTACTCGGTTATTACAAGATTCTCTTGGAGGAAACGCACAAACATTAATGATCGCATGTGTTTCTCCCGCAGAATATAATCTTAACGAAACCGTCAATACCCTTAAATATGCTAATAGGGCTCGTAATATTAAAAATGTTGCTGCCATTAATCAGGAAGAAACCGGTTGGAATGACATAGGACACTTACAAAACCTTGTAATCAAACTTCGTAGTGACGTAACAAATTTAAAAGTCGCTCTTGCCAATACAAATACAAATAATGGAATTTCTAACGGAACGATATCGCCTGGTAGAGTTACACCTATCGGAGGAAGAGAGACGCCCAGTAGTAGAATCAAATCACCAACCGCGGGACATTATTCTTCATTACCAACGGGAATTGGTGGAAGAGTAACCCCAACAATTTCAGGTATTCCTGGACGAAGTACACCAACATCCTCAACGGGTAGAATCACACCAGGAATTACAGGAAGGACTACACCATCAGCTTCATCGATCCCTACCGGAATTCCCGGAAGAAACACTCCTACAAAGTCCAGTGTACCTTCAGGAATTCCTGGTAGAAATACGCCAACATCGGGAATCTCCTCGGGAATTCCAGGGAGAAAAACACCTACCGGAATCCCCGGAAGAAATACACCGACATCTCCTTCGGGTATACCTGGGCGAAACACTCCAACGCGTCGTCCATCGTCACCACTTACCACCTTTTCACATGGAAATCACCCAGCGCAAAATCACAGAGATGTGGAGATATTGGAAGAACAATTGTTTCAACTTAAACAATCATACGCCGAACTTTCAAAAAGACATGCAAAAACTTCAGCCGAACTTGCGATGCATCAAGACAACTACGATGAATTAAATAATCTTAAAGCAGGAAATGTAAAGAATTTCATGAAAGGCGCTGAACCCGTAATTGAAGAGTATGAAAAATCCATATCATCGCTTGAAAGTAAATTGGCCATAACAGCTGCGGCACTATCACATTCCGAAGCTAATTTGAAGGCTAAAGATGAAAAGCTCATCACCCTAACAAAAAATCAAGAACAAACAAAGAGTCTTAATTCCAGCTTGCAAAAATACATTAAAGAGCTCGAATCAAAATTAGAAAATCATAATATTGAGACGAAATTAGCGACCACGAGTGACGAACACCCAGAGAAATTTATTAGTGAAACCGTGAAAATGCTCGAAGAACGATTGACAGAACGTGAGGTTGCGTTCAAAGAATTAGAGGAAAAATTAAAACAAGCTGACGTGAATCAAGAAAGGCAAGAACTTTTGAACAAAATCGATAACCGAGATAAACGAATTAGTGTTCTTGATGTAAAACTTAATCTGCTTGAGGGTGAGTTAAAGAAATTCAATGGGAAACAAGATTCAACTTCTGAAAGTTCAACTGCAAACAGTGATCTTGAATCGAAATTAACGGATTTACAATCATCATATCAAAAAGCTCTTGCTGATTTGAACCTTGAGCGAGAAAAGAATGAAGCCAATATTAATGAAGTCAAAGAACTACAGAAAACCCTCAAAGAAGTCAAATCAAATGGCACAAGTGAACAATATCTATCAACAATCAAATCTCTTGAAGCCAAACTTCGAAAGACAGAAACCGAACTTGACGATACGAAGTCGAAATATGAGAATAGCGTCTTACGAATTCAAGAATTACAATTGTCGCATGATAATAATTCGGAATTTTCATCAACACCCATGACTCCGATGACACCCGCCACGCCACAAAATGAATATTACTTTAAAGAACCTTCCAACGCTAATGTTTTATCAAAGTTTAGTATACATCGAAAAGCGAAATCTTTATCAATTGACCTTAAAGGTTCAGAAAGGCGTGACCTCGCCCATACTGCAATTGTTGAGAAGCTCCAATTTGAATTAAAATTATTCGAATCTTTCCATAAGGATAAGCAACAAAGTTTGGACGCGGTTAGGCATGAATTGGATCTTCTAGAAATAGATTATCAAGAAACTTTACAATTGGTGGATGAGCTCCGAGAGGAACTTCAAAGACGTGATGATAAGGATAAGTCGATATCAGAAGTCGAAACAACGGATGAAATAAATCAACAACTCCAAAAGGAGGTTGAACAACTTACAAAGAAACAAAATCAACTTTTACAAAACATCGCAGAACGTGAAATTGAAAATAATAAAAAGGTTGAAGAGATTGAAAGATTAGAATCAAATATTCGTGATCTTCGTAGCCAAATGGCTGTAGCAACCCCTGTTAAAGAAAATGAAGAAGCAATAATACTGCGCGAACGCGTGGCTAAACTTCAAGCGGAAGTCGTTTCCAACGCGGATCATGTAAATATAATCAAACGACTTGAAAGTGAGCTTCGAGAGGTTAAAGAGGCGCATAAACTCGTCATTCAAGAGAAAAATAAACTTACTGCAACATCAACAGATGCAAGTGATGAAACCTCATCTGATAAGCTTGAACAAAACGTTGACGAAAATGTAATGGTATTACAAGATACCGTGAGACATCTCGAGGCTCAATTAAAGATGAAAGACAAAGGATCACAACAAACTTCTTCTCCAAAATCCGTTGATTCCGTGCAAAATAATATTGATACTTCTGATAGCATTAGTTCGGATGTTGATCAGGATTCAATAAACACCTTACAATCTCAGGTTTCATCACTTAAATTAGATATTAAAAATAAGGATGATCTGATTGATACATTGGAACAAGAGTTGGAAGATAAAGACTTATTACAAAAGAACCTCAAAAACAAAGAAACAGAGCTAGCATCCCTGTCAAAACAATTATCGGACTTTAGGAATAAGGATGAGGATATGCGAAAGAGAATAAAAGAGCTCGAATTACATTTGGAAAGTGCCGAAAGCATCAAAGAAACTAATAAGTTGCTGGAAAACGAATTTGAAAGCGTTAAAAAAGAATTAATAGACGTAAAAGAGAAAGAAGCTCATGCACTTGAGCAATTATGTATATTAGAAGGTTCGAGTTCAAAAGTGCAACAGGAATTGGAACGCATACGTAACCTGGAAGTCGCGCAACAAGAACGAATCGTAACATTAGAAGCTCAGTTATCGGAACAAGGGACACAGTTCGATAGTGAATTTACAAATTTAACATCAGCATTGAAGGTTTCGAAAGAATCAGAAATTATGAATAAACAAACAATCGCTGAACTCGAATCCAAATTAAATAAGTCCGGATCTGTAATTTCAACGCTCCAGTCTGAAATCGAAGTGTTGAATTCCAAAGAAAATGAGACACTTTCTAAACTACGAAATGAATTATCCGACACTAAACTAGAGATGGAATCACGAAATGAATTATTGTCAGAACTTGAAAGTCTTTTAATATCAACTGAAAAAGAGCGTAATCAGTACCATGAACGCGCTGATGAATTATCAAAATTAATTGAAGAACAGGAAGGTCAACAAAAGGAAGCAATTCGAGCTCTTGAATCAACAATAACGAAATTGAATAATGAACTCAATGACATAACGAGAACATCTCAGAATTATCAGGATACAATAAAATCATTAGAAGAAAAGATTTCTGATTTAGAAACTCAACTTGGTGAAGCAAAGATTTCAGATGAAAGATATGTTGGAATGATCAATGAACTTAAATCTACATTGAAGGAATCTAACACTCATCTTATGGAAAAACATGAATTAATATTCACTAAAGAAAATCACATTAAAGAACTGGAAACCACCATTAAAAAGATTAATGATAAATTATCTGATGCAGAATTATCCAAAACTTCTGAATCTGAACATGTGAAATCACTTCGAGACAAGATTGCAGAGATCGAAGCTAAGTTGGAGCAAAGTCCATCACCTGCAGATTTTGAATCGGCACAGCAATATGCAGCCAAACAAGTTGAACTCGTTAAAGAATTGGAAAAGAGAATCGATGAAATTAATGAAACGAACTTATCAGAGGTTTCTAAGCTAAATGAGAATATTGATAAATTAACCGAAGAATTAAGGGAGACGAGATCCGCCGAAGAAGCGCAAAAGTCTTTAGTTCATGAATTAGATTCTGAACTGAAAGAAAAAGAAGAAAAGATGGCGGAATTAAAAGAAACGCTAAATAGCACCAATGCGCTACTCGAGAAAGTCAAAGTTACTGAGAATAAGCAGGCTGAATTCATCCAAAATTTGGAATCTCAACTGAAGGATATGAAAGATGCACGTGATCTTCGGGAGAAAGAAATATCGGAACTTAGTCGCACTAACGAATCACTTAATGATCAGTGCATGAGATTACATAATGAAATAAAGGACGTACATAATGAATCTGCTAGGCAAAGCGAAGAAAGTCTAAATATTTTGGAAGAACTAAACAACCAGCTTGAAATCGAAAAGAATGAACACTTAAGTGACAAAGAAAATCTTGAAAACCAGGTGCAAAAATTACAGAAAGAAATTGGATTAATGAGCAATGAATACTTAAGTGACAAAGAAGCTCTTGAACAACAGGTGCAAAAATTACAGAAAGAAATTGATTTAATGATCAATGGACACTTAAGTGACAAAGAGACTCTTGAACAACAGGTGCAAAAATTACAGAAAGAAATTGGTTTAATGAGCGATGAAATAATAGAGATTGCTAGAAAATATGAAGATGCGGAAGAACTTTCAGCAGAATATAAACAACGAATATCAAATTTAGAAATCGCTCTTGAAGAGTCCAAGAAATTATCAAGTGATAAATTAAAAGCCGATGAAACTCAGAATACAAGGTCAATACCAACATTGGAAACGTCTGAATTCGGATCCAAGATTTCACAGCAGGATAATCTTATTAAATCGCTTCAAGAAGAGATTATCGAACTCAAGCAAAGAACGTCAGATGATAATATAATATACAAACATGAAGTTGAAATTAGAGAATTGAACCAGGAAATTTCCAAATTAGAAAAGATGAATGAAGAAAAATCCAAATTAATAGACAATTTAGAAGGATTAGTAAAAGATGACGAAGTTGAAATGAAAGAATTAAAACAAAAATTAGAAAAATTACTACGAGAAAAGGATGACCTTCTAAACGAAATCGAAGATTTGAGAGTTAAATTAGAAGAAAAGACAGATCAGCATGAACAGTTAATGTCTATACAAAAAGAAAAAGAAGAGATTGAAACTAGTTTAGAAAAAGAAAAATTAGCCAAAAAGAATGTTGAAGTTGCTTATGCCAATCTTGAAAATCAATTCGAAGAACTTCAAGGTGGAAGGAAAAATAAATTTTTAAGTAAATTTATGTGTTTTTAAATTAATTAATAAAAAAAAAAATGTGTATATTATTATTTTTGTAATATTATTTTTAACTTATTTTGTATAATTCAATAAATAGTTATTAAGTTGTATGTTTTAATAATAAAGAATTAATTTATTGTGCGAAATTTGATAGTCATTATCTTATTTATTAATAAAATTCTCTACCGATTCGTGTTTATAATACTTGAATCTCTTAACAATTTGATTTTTATTGAAAAAAAAAATTATAAAGTAATCAAATTTATTTTTATTTACCTGAATTACCTAATCATCTAAATTAACCTTTTGTGCCCAAGACGCGTAAATTCATGATTAATGGAGAAGTATTCTGTTGATGAATATTTTGAGACAACGACACCTGAAAAATACCGATTTCTCGATTACTACAAGGATCGTAAAAACCGAGATGACTTTACAAACAATTTTCGCCTAGAGGCACAAAGACTCCACAACTGCTTGAATTACCTGGTGGAAAATGGGGTCGAATCAAAGGAAACAAAAAGCTCAACATTTGCTTGATGTTTTTGAGGCGAGTATCATTTACATTTTGATCACTGGCAGGCAGTATGGAGGACCCCTGTTAAGTCCCGAGAAGGGGAACATACTTCCACGACTACGGTGAGCGCGTGCGTCCCGCTCACTTTATGGCGTTCGTTAGATCCCGTTGTGGTCTGCTTCGCCAGCAGTTTTCCTATCTTAATGCCCCGTTATTGTCTGCTTTTCCAATAAGGACAAGATGCTAACAAATTATATTAATCCTATAGAACCATCGAAACAAGAACGTGGATATCGATAGATTCTGGAATGAAGTTGAACGTGAATCTCTGGATATAGACCATGCAAAAGAAAAAAGTCAACTAAAGTTGGACCAGGTCAATAATTTTACTTACTTTGACATTGTGTGCTAATTATTGTTCTGAATTACAGGTAAAAATAGCTCGTGCTATGACAAAGGGGACTGAAGAAGGCGTTGAAAACATTATGAAAAATGTTAATAAGGAGCTGGTATGAATTAAATTGTTAACGTCATTAGATAAAAAGCGACCCATCTAATTCATCATCAAATTTATTTGATATAATCTAAGGATGAGTCAGTTACAGATAACGATAGCAAGCCTTACTCACTAAGAAAGAGACCAAGGGTTGATTACAATGAGGATAGAATTTAAAAAAGACAAGAACAAGAAGATGAGTACACTTCTCCCACGCCAATTACATTCATTGCCGATGGATAATCCATCGATGGGTAATCCATTTATTGAAGAAGGGGTGCAGGATTACCCGATAATAATTAATGATATTCCAGATGAATTATCCTTCGAGGATGAGGACTCTATCGACGATCTTAAAATAAGAGAGATCAATGTTTCTCGATTATTCCGTCAATATCAAAATCAATCTATCAAGATCGCAAAAACCGGGGGTCTTTTTGTTGAATCCAACGTTCACGAGATATTGTCATTATCTTCGATTTTACTTCTTAATCCTGGCTCTCATTCGAAAACGATGATCGACATATTCAGTACTTCTTTGCTTGATGATATCTACCAACAAGCAAATCCTCCTCAGCAAATAGAATTAAATACGGAATGTGAATCGAAGTTGAGGAAAGTGATCAAAAAGGCAATAAAAGAATCGCGTAGCAGGGCTACAGAATTTCTGTTAAGGGAACTTACAAATGATCAAATGTTGAATGAGAATTTGGGTTCCATGTTCTTGGAATGCCTTAAGAAATTGCCAACCACAAAGATTAAAAATGAGCCGAGCGAAACGACTCTGATTACAAATTACCCCTCGACCACATTATGAGAGAAATGTTACATGATCCAGATAAGCACTTTGTGGAATGGCCGAATGCAGAAATTAACGAAAGCAAAGCAAGAAAGCCACAAGGGAGAAGAAGCAAACAGCCCGATTTTACTGCCTTAATAGTCCACCAGCTACAATTGAACAGTATCATATTCGTGGGTGAGGTTGGTCGACCGCGTCAAAAACTTTTTTCACGTGTTAATTTCCCTTTTTTTTATTTATGATCGGTTCTTATTGCATCATCAGATAATATTGCGAGAAAAAAAACATCTGTTTGTCATATCAATGAGAATAAAACGTTTTTTTATTGTAGTGAAAAATACAGAAATTTATTATGTCAGTTTCGCAATACTAAAAATTTACAATGAAGTTACACTTTATCGCCTTTCAAGAAAAGA